CCACTCACCTCAGCCTCCCAAAGGCGCGGGATTACAGGCTGAGCCACCGAGCCTGGCCTTGGCCTCTTAAAGTGTGAGATCACAGACATGAGCTACCATGGCCAGCCTGAACATGTGTCTTGATAGAGTGTCTGGGTTCATTTGTGAAGAAGCTCTTAGAGAGGATGACCCCCAACTTGTCCCACTACAGCATCACTAAGGTTGTTCAAGGGAGGCCCAGAGGGGAGGCTTCTTCTCCTGGAGCAGCGCCTGGAGGAGCTGAGAAGGGAACTGCAGGGACTTCGGAGCCAGGTGCAGGAGCAGGCCCAAGCCCAAGCCCAAGCTCAAATGCAGACAGGACCAGGAAAATACAGTGCTACGAATGGTCTTCATCGGGAGCTGCAGACTGAGTAAGTGATGGTCAAGACCTTGCCTTCTTGAGGTCTTTTGAACTCTTGGCATTCTGTGAGGCTAGTGGCCTCCTCACTCTAGATTTGTTGATTGACTCTAGAATTACATTGCTGTCATTCTTGCAGGCGGCAACTGCTGTGGGAGGATTCAGAGATTTTGCGAGAAGAACTGAAATTGCTGCGGGACCAGCTGAGTAAGTAAAAGATTGGGGGCGAACATGTATTCTTGTCCCCTTTTCTGGAAAACCTTGCTCTTCCATTAAGTGGACATAGCTCTGACTGACTGAGCTACTGAGAAATCTAGCCAAGTGTTTTGTCTTGCCCTTTGCCTCTCATGGAGTGAATTTAGTCTCTCCAGTGAGGTTGGAGAGATGCTTCTATCTCAGTTTCAACACCAGGCTGGTCACAAGGCAGTGGGGAAGGAAAGAAGTTGGGTAACAGCTCCCTTACATTCTCTCTCATCTGTAGGCCACCACCAGGAGCTGCTGCTGAAACAGATGGCTGAGGGGCGGCTGGGTCCAGCTCGCAGTTGGAAGGTAAGACCAGGATTGAACTTGATTCTGCATTTTTCTTCATGAAGACCCTGTCCTTTCTCTGTATAGCCTGTTCTCTTGTCCCCATCTCTTGCTCGCTCTTCTCTGTGCTGATTTCCTCTCTCCAAAGCTAGTCTTTCCAATCATTCTGTTCCAGGCCATGAGAAACTGTCCTTGCTCACATGAAGGTTCCAAGTGTACTGAAGAGACAATCATGGGGAGGGGGAGGGAGAGGCTTGGTCGTATCTGAGCTCATGGTCTAGCAGATGTTGGAGCAGCTGCAAAATGACCAGGAGGCTGCCAGGACAGAGGCTCAGGATTCCCGGCGGGAGCACAACCTCACAGGTCAGAGGGTATGGGCGCTGTGGCAATGGAGGGGTTTTTGTCTCACAAGTTAGGCACTGGGGACCAAAGTTCGACAATCCTAGATTTGTCCTGGGATAGTAGGGGCGGCATGAGTACCTGTGATGTAGCCCATACGGGCCTCATTGGACATTCTTTACTTGATACAGAGTCAATGAGGTATCTTTTTGTATTTGGGTGATAAAGTAGGAGGAGACCAGAGTACCAGCCTCGCCTCAGGAAGGGGGACAGTTCTGTGCTGGGAGGACCTCTTGACATCATCACCATCTCTGTGATTTTGTTCCCCTTTCCAGGACTTCCATTCATGTTCTCCAATCTAAGCTGCCCCTGGCCACTGTCTGACCATGTCTTTTTCTTCATCTAGCTCTGGAGTCAGTCTTCTGGATAGTAACATTAGATGAGAACTTTTATGGAAGCTAGGTGGGGATAAGGGAAGGTATCCTCTTTTAGGGGGACCCTGAATCTGAATGGTACTTAGATGCCAGCTGCTTAATTGTTTGGTACTGGGGTGAATAGAGTCTCTGCCTCTTTGGAAATTCATTGACTCCTGCTGCTACTTATCCCAAGGCAGACCTGTATGTCCCTCTCCATCACACAGGCCTAGGCCCTAGTTCTGTGCATATCACAGTGCTTGCTGGTGATTTGTCTTCTCTTTTCTTTTCCTTCCTCTTAGATTTCCAAAGGAGAAGCACCCTTTCTAACCTGGAGCCCAGCAGCTTTTGGCCCCATACCCAGAGTCTTGAGCAAGAAGACCTATTCCTTCAGGGCCCCAAGATGCTCCTGAGTGACCTGTAAGGACTTACAAGAGTAGTGGGATGAGGCTTCTTTGCCCATCCTCCCCTCCAAGGCCCTGTTTCTGGCTTTCCTGCCCTTTCACTCTTGATCTAGTTATCTGTCCTCTCTACTGAGGCTTTTCACTGCCTGCCCAACCTTGTTCTCCACCTGAAATAAAATGGTTTAACCCTCCTTGATGCATTTTCTATGAATTAGCACCCACATGGGATAGACTCAACTATACCCTTTCCTTTCTTCCTCTGTGCTTGACTGCTTCCTGTGATCTCTACCACTGAAATCCAAGTTCATAGACACAGCTGTACCTTCTGAGTACAAGCTCAGCTGAACTTGAAAAGAGATGGGAGCTTGCATTCTGGTGAGTAAAATGAGGTAGGACACTGCTCTGGGGCAGCATGCGGTGGGGATGCAGAGGAGGGCAAAGTATTCTGATGGGACCTGGACCTGGATAGTGGGGAGCTTTCTTTCTTCATACCCAGCTTCTGTCTCTTGAGGCTTACTCCAGCCTTTCCACGCTTCCTTATCCTCAGCATACCAGCCTGCATTTCTGCAGCAGCCTCCTTCCTGATCTCTCTTCTTTCAGTCTTTCTACCTCAAATCCAGTGACTTTAAGGATGTTTTGAGGCCGGGTACAGTGGCTCATGCCTGTAATACCAGCACTTTGGGAGGCTGACGTGGGAGGACTGCTTGAGCCCAGGAGGTTGAGACTGCAGTGAGCCATGGTCACAGCACTGCACTCAAGCCTGGGTGACAGAGTGAGACCCTGTCTAAAAAAAAAAGAACTTTTTGACTGTGACCTCCAGTAAGAAATACAATTTATGGGCCAGGTGCGGTGGCTCACACCTGTAATACCAGCACTTTGGGAGGCCAAGGTAAGAGGATTGCCTGAGCCCAGGAGTTCGATACCAGCCTGGGCAACTTGGCTAGACCTTGTTTTTACAATAAATAAAAAAATTAACTGAGTGTGGTGGCACTTGCCTGTAATTCTAGCTACTTGGGAGGCTGAGGCAGAAGGATTGTCTGAGTTCAGCAGGTCGAGGCTGCAGAGGCCATGAGCTGTGTGACTGTACTCCAGCCTGAATGTCAGAGTGAGACTCTGACTCAGGAAAAAAAAAGAAGCCGGGCTTGGTGACTCAACCTGTAATCACAGCACTTGGGGAGGCTGAGGCAAGTGGATTGCCTGAGCCCATGGGTTCGAGACCAACCTGGGCAACTTGGCGAGACCTTATCTCTACAATAAATAAAAAAATTAGCCGGGTGTGGTAGTGCACGCCTGTAGTTCTGGCTACTTGGAAGGCTGAGGCAGAAGGATCTCCTGAGCACAGCAGGTCGATGTTTGGGTGACTGTGAGCGTGCCACTGCATTCCAGCCTGGCCTACAAAGTGAGACTCCAGCTCAAAAAAAAAAAAGCCAGACAGTTTATGTTGCGACCAAGTAAATATATGTGTAGATCTAGTAACTGAAAAATTTCACAATTATTATTAGCGTAATGTACTTTGATATTTTCTGTTACATTTCACTAAGAAGTCTTGTGGCTAATGATTTTGATCCTTTAGCCACTCAGTTGCTCTCTGCAAATACATTTGATTCTTTTTTTGAGTTGGAGTCTCACTCGGTTGCCCAGACTGGAGTGCAGTGGCCGCTCCCGGCCACCGCAGCCTTGCCTGCTGGGCTCCGGCGATTCTTCCACCTCAGCCTTCTGAGTAGCTGGAATTACAGTCATGCGCTACCATGCCCGGCTGATTTTTTCATTGTAGAGATGGGGTCTCGCCTGCCCAGGCGGGTCTCGAACCCGCGGGCTCAGGCAATCCACTCACCTTAGCCTCCCAAAGGCGTGGGATTACAGGCTGAGCCACCGAGCCCAGCTACATTTGATTCTTGAGCAACACATATTTGAAATGCACAAGTCCACTTATATGCAGATTTTCCCCCCCCCCGACCAAACAGATGACAAGTACGTATTCAGCTGGGCATGTTGGCTTATGTATGTAATCCCAGCACTTTGGGAGGCTAAGGTGAGAGGATTACCTGAGCTCATGGGTTTGAGACCAGCTTGGGCAACATGGTAAGTCCTCATCTCTACAAGAAATAAAAAAATTAGCCAGGCGTGGTGGCGCACACCTGTGGTTCCAGCTACTTGGAAGGTGGAGACAGAAGGATCACCTGAATACAGCAGGTAAAGGTTGTGGTGACCGTGAGTGTGCTACTGCACTCCAGCCTGGGTGACAGAGTGAGACTCCAACTAAAAAAACAAAAAGGCTGGGCCCAATGGCTCAAGCCTTAATCCCAGCACCTTGGGAGGCCAAGGTGAGGGAATTGCCTGAGCCCACAGGTTCGAGAACAACCTGGGTAACTTGGCGAGACTTCATCTGTACAATAAATCAAAAAATTAACCAGGCATGGTAGCACACACCTGTGGTTCCGACTACTTGGAAGGCTGAGGCAGAAGGATTGTCTGAGCCCAGCAGGTTGGCACTGGAGTGGTTGTGAGTGTGCCACTGCATTCCAGACTGGGTGACGGAGTGAGACTTAAAAAAAAAACAAAACATATATATATATACACACACACATACACACACACACACATACATATATATATAGTATTCCAGATATGTAAGACCTGTGTTTGTGAAAGGCTGACTTTTTTCTTTTATTTATTTAATTTATTGATAGATTTTTGAGTTGGAGTCTCACTCTGTTACCCAGGCTGGAGTGCAGTGGCACACTCATGTTCACCGCAACCTTGACCTGCTGTGTTTAGGCGATCCTTCAGTCCCAATGCTGAGGATAAAGAATTGAGGAGGAGCCACAGGCTCCGTGGCTCAGCCTGTAATTCCACGCCTTTGGGAGGCTGAGGTGAGTGGATTGCCTGAGCCCGCGGGTTCGAGACCCGCCTGGGCAACTTAGC